CACGGCTCAGGTGGTTCAGACGGGTCCAGCCCGGAAGGGTCACACTGTACCCGTTACATCCCCCTGCCGCTTCAGCCCTCCACTCAGAAGCCCCATAAAAACCTTGTAACTAATGAACCACCTGGTTGGCTTGCGGTCTGAATCCCGGTTTTATTTAACAGCGTTCAACAGTTATCCTGTAAATAAACATCATGGCTAATGATTAAATCACCACATATTATAAATACCAACCAGGTTATAGAACACTATTTTAATTAGCCTATCCCCTCCAGCCTGGGGGTCCGATTCTTTTTCTTTAGCAAGGCGTTTTCATGAATACATCTTTGTTTCCTTATCCGAGCTCTCTGAAGCAAGCTCTTTCCCTCCTCCTGGGCTTTAAACCAAACTTTCCAGGGAGCTCGCCCTACCCAAAGCCTGGCAGCTCCCCCTAGGCTCCCCGGGGCTGACACCTTTTAAAACTGACTTGACATTCAGGAGTCAGTAGGATCCTATACCTCTCACAGCTTACTGCCCCACCTTGAACTGTATTGACGTTAAAGCTAGGGAGCCTGTCTCGTTGTTGCTCTCCTCCACCCTTTATTTGATCAGAAACAAGCTCAGCTCTGACACGAAAAAGTGAAAGTCATCATTAACTTTCCCCTTTCCCTTTAAGTAATAGAAGGCTCCTTTTTCTGGCTCTATAGGATTAGCAACGTATTTCACACTAACATTGCCCCCTTAAAAAGATTCACAACCACTACAACAGACAGAGTCTATCAGAGGCTGGGGCGTTCAATATTTAGCACACGCCGCCCTCCTTTCATTGAGATGCAGAGACCCAGAGGGGGACGCTCTAGAACACATCGATTGGTCATATGCAAGCAAAGGTATCACTCCGTCCTGCTCGGAAACTTCCTCCCAGAGAAGGAAGAGCGCAGGTTTGTCACGCGATGGGTGTCACTGTAACCCACGGAGCTGCGAGGCTTGGGGTCAGGCTAGAGGGATCATAAGAATACTTCTTGGAAACTGAGCCTGTCTTCCGACATTCATTTCATTTAAAAAATGACAAGGAACAGGTTATCGGCATCTCCATAAAACACCCACATCAACGAAACAAACGCACTTAGGTTCAATACAAGCAGAAAGGAAAACTGGTTGTGCAGGTGGTTCAAAGTATACTCTTCCGTACACTGAAATGGAGAAAGGAGTGTCACCTGAATTTCCAGCTGTCTCCCTACCATTCACTCAGCGTCTACAGTGAAAACTTACGTCCCGGTCTTTAGTTGGCTCCCCTCAAATACTGTCTTGCAGGTATTGTCTTGATAATTCAATGGTGGGCTATACAAATATTCATGAGATTAAAAACCAAACAGAGGGCTTCTACCCAACACCGAGAACAGAGTACAGTCATCTCTGAGCAGCAGGCAGTTAGTTATTTAATACACAGAAACTCTTCAATAGCGGTGGCTGTACCACTCGTTGTTGTTGACCTGAAGGAGATCTGTCACCACCTGCAGGATGTTGTAATTGTGTTTCTGCAGCAGCCGGAGGTTCAGCTGCCTGTCACAGAATCCCATTTCAAAGAGGTGGGCCATCAGAGCGGCCATCTGGTCTTCAGAAACGACTGGCTGTGCAGACAAGAGCAGGGAATTTATTTGTAAATTATTCAAGTTTACCTCATAAAGTACCTTAATCTTCCTAGATTCATTCAAAATGGAGGCACAGGGTGGCACACGCCCGTCCTGTCATAATGGGTTGGAAGGAGAGAACAAATCAGAAGACCGATGAATGGTCCTTAAAACTAGAAGCATTCCTGGCCTTTTAGATTTGCTAAGGGCCCTTTGGGCTTCTTTTCCAAAGTATTCCCCTTCAATCAACACTCTTGTTCCAAAAAAGGGGAAGAAGCATTCTTTGATCAGATGAAATTAAGCCCCGGAAACTCATAACCTTATTTATGAAAACGGAGATGCGCGGTTGTTGAGAAAACTCCTGAATGAGGTCGCTCAGAGTGTTCAGCTCAGTCTCTAGCACTTCCACCTACACCTCATTCCCTCGAGTTCCCTTCGTCCGTAGTTTTCAGAACCAATGACCCGTTCTCCTTTCCAGGTCAGTCCTTCTACCACACTCGTGCTTTGTAGCCATTTACCTCACATCGTCTGAGAGAGACCTTTTCCATCAATTACTTTCTCCCCTTTAGACTTTTTTGTCATCAATTTTCCCTTTCAGAAAAAGCGCTCATTTCACCCATCTAAGAACCCCCCTGATGTATGCTAGCTTCCCTCTCCACTTGCCACACTGTAGCCCAGCTATCTGAACAGGGGTGGTGGTGGTCTTGTTATCTTTGCACGTTGAAATTCCTCACGACCTGTTGCATCGCTGTGGCATTTGACTGTTGTTCACACTCCCTTCCCTAAGGTTCCGGACAGCTCTCTCCTTCCTCATTCCGTAGAGGTTGCTGCTTGTCTGACCCACCCTTTCCAGATGAGCTCATCCAACCACACGGCTCCTGCTAAACCATCTCCAGACCAGCTCGCGCCCTGCACTCCAGATTTCATGTCCAACTGCATTCTTTTTACTTGCATACACCATGTCGGTGCGCAACTTCCTCTCATCTGACACTGAACTACATTTCTCTCTCCTCATCCACACATCTCCTCCTTCCTGCAGGTCCCCCAAACCAGAAACTGGGGGGTTAGCCCTGACTCCTTTCTAGTCACTTAATTATAGGCTCTAAGGTCTGTGATCTGTCTTGTAACTCAACTCCTACCCTTCTTTTCTCACCCACCCACGGTTCTCAAACGGACCCCTTTCCCTGCTGCGTGCCACCGTCCTCGCTGTAGGAGGGACCAGACCTGATCTTGACAGCTTCCTTAAGACCTTCCCGTGAGTCTTCCCCTAGCCCGACCATAAATCCAAACTCCTAACGCACTGCATACAATGAGCATGTCTGCTGCCTACATGTCTGATCTCTTATTTTCTCAAGACCAAATGGTTCTGTCAGAAGGGGGACGAACAACAAAAACATGGGTGAGGGGAGACAGCAGATGGTGTAAAATATGAAAATAAAATAATTTATAATTTATCAAGGGTTCACGAGTGTGGGAGGGGAAAAGAGCTGATACCAGGGCTCAAGTGGAAAGAAAATGTTTTGGAAATGATGGTACCTTATGTACAAATGTGCTTGGTATGACTGATGTATGGATTGTTATAAGAGCTCTAATAGCCCCCAATAAAATGATTAAAAAAAAAAAAAAGGTTCTGTCCCTCCTATTAGATTTGTTCTCTTACCCTCCCAAGATTTTTTTCCTGGCTTCTCTGCCAACGATTTCATTCCCAAGACTTTCCTGGCCAACAATGTTGATCTTCAGGACTCAGTCCAGGTCAGACCTGCCAGATAGCGTTCCTTGGGTCCCTGTGCTCTCAGTGTCTGCCATTTAGGGAGGAGCAGGTCTCTTATTCAGGGTACAGCTCCAGGGCATGGGTCAGCTAGCGCGCCCCCTCCCCCACCCCCACCCCCACGTCCTCCAGCAACGTTGGGTCCTTCCTTCCTTTCCTTGCTGAAGTAACCCAGTGGAGCGCGACACTAACCAGGCTGTGCACTTCCCATAGTGCCAGGCTACTCTCTAACCCTCTCATGCCCCAATCACCCACTTCGTTTGGGACCAGCCTTCGTTCAGGAGAACACACACTGACCTGTGCAGTGACTGGTGGCCCAGCAAACAGGACCTTGTATGCAGAGGCAGCCACGGACAAAGCCCCTTTCACTAGCCCTCCAGCAATGCCGGTCCCGTGGTGGTGCCTGTGGAGGTAAACCAAATGATCTCCCTGAACCACCGTGACCTTCCTACACAAGGTTATCAGGGCTCTAATGGAAGCCTTGAGAGAAAAGGAGATTTAAAGAAACAATCAGATGTAAAATGAGACTGTGACTTGTTGCTTTATCCATTCTAATGCAACAAATCTTGGTCTGATGCAGGGCCAGCTCCGCTGCTGCAAGATATGGGCACTGGGGGGACAGGGGGCGGGGGGCATACATGGCTGGATATATAGCCTACCCCCCAAGGGGATGAATAACAGAAATGTGGGTGAAGGGAGACAACAAACAGTGTAAGACATGAAATAACAACAATATATCATTGATCAAGGATTCACGAGGGTGGGAGGGAGGGAGGAAAAGAGGAGCTGGCACCAAGGGCTCAAGTAGAAAGAAAATGCTTTGGAAATGTTGGTGCCAACATATGTACAAGTGTGCTTAATACAACTGAATGATGGATTGTCGTAAGATTTGTTAAGAGTCCCCCAATAAAATGATTAATAATAAAACAACAAAAAAATGAAATGTAAGTATTATCTGCCATAGGGGTGCGGTGGGGGAGAGATACGGGCATTGCAGAAAACACACTGCTCTGGGTAGCACGCCCGTGCTCCTTCCTAGTTCAAGCAGCATGGTCAAGGGTGCACTGGGGTAGCAGCCGTCCACCTCTATCCAGTTATCATGTCAGAGGAAACGGGATTTTCTGGGTTTTGCAGGGAAGAGCCCATCTTGACACTGTTCTGAGTTGATTGGAACGTGTGCCTAAGAAAAAGTTACCAAGATGCCCACTGGGTTTGACCTTCCTGCCTTCTCTGCCACCAAGGGTGAGGTAGATCACAGGCTTTTCTCAAGGCATTCCTGTCTGTTCTGCCACGGGAACGTCCCTGAGCATCAGCTATGGCCCTTTGCTCTCTCCAAAGGGAGGAGAAATGAGACTAAGAACAAGTGATGCTCTCCGGGCTCTTTTTTAGGCAGAAGCAATAGTAGCGTGTCCACCCTGCTTCTGAAGAAGGGACTGCACAAGGCCCTTACCTTGGGTGGTCATAGCTCCTCCGTCTGCTGTTTGCATGTCCTGACGAGCCTCTGGGCTCTAAAAGCAAAAGAGCTGAGGGTTAGATGCAGCACCCTCAAGCGGCCCAGCTCACTGCGAAGCTATGTGCAGGCAGGAGGCAATCCCACAGCAGTTGGGAAATGTTGTAGAGGCGATGGTGATTAAGTGATAAGAAGCAGCAGCGTACTGAAATTAGAAGAACAGTCTATAATCTTCACTCTGACTTATTCATTTGTGAAGTCTTGGATCTTACTTTTTTTCCTGGCGGGGGGCGGGGGCGGAGTGTCTTTTGCACAAAGAATTACTGAGCATGTATATAATACCTGGTTCCCACCGCAAAGGAGCAGAGAAGGCGTGAGCGCTCCGGCGGGTCATTACCTCCTCTGATCTGAGCAGGGGCTGGAGGAACTTCCGGGATGGTAACTGGTAACTCCGCTCCTGTGCAACCAGGCTGCTGTACACATGGGGGGCTCCTTTCAGAAAGACACAGACCACAAGCTGAAGAACAGCGAGCAGCACGGCAGCGCCAAGGGCTCTACACAGGCTGCCTGCTTCTGATCGGAGGAGAGCATGCCTGAACGTGGAGGTCAGGTCAGCAGGCTGCCTTCGATTCCTTTTCCTCTTTGGTCACAGTCAAACTAGAAAGACCGGCTCTAGTCTAGCTACTTAGTCTCTACTAAGTGGTGCTGATCAAGCTAAATGCCAAGTTCACTGGGAGAACAGTTCAAAGGACAGGCAAGACTCCAGTCCCACATTATAAGTGCAATGATGCAGACAGTCAGTAGAGAATTAAGATGAACTGTTTGAGTTCATAGCACTTCCCCCGCCTCATAATGACTTTAAAATTCCTAATCATGCCTAGAGATTTGGAGGACCAATATAAAAATATTTGTAATAATTCACTACAACAATCAAAATTCAGAAAGATTATGCTCAGATAATTAAAGCTGAGTACAACCAGAAATGCCTTAAATCCCGAGTCCACACGTGCTGGGGGAGTACGGTTTGCTTGTCTAAACTCAGGCTTTCACCAAGGAAGCTGTCCCTCCCCAGGCTGAGGTCCAGTTGCTTGCTCGCACTCTCTAGACCACGCTGAAGAGCACCACAGGAGCCCTGGCGGGGCCGTGGTTCCGGGCTGGGCTGCCAACCACGAGATCGGCAGTTCTAAACCACCAGCTGCTCTGAGACACTTCCCTGTATGCCAGGGTCACTGAGAGTTGGAATGCACTCAACGGCAGTGGGCTTTGAGTAAGGAACACGCCAGCGGAGGGGGCTGTGGATGGTACCTGGGCAGCAGAGGTGGGGGCCCCACCACCTCTGGAGTGAGGGGCACTGTTTCCAGAGTCTGTGAGGTCATGAGGATGTCATTGATGTCCTGCCCCTGCGGCTGCTTCTCTCCTCCAGGGAGTCTCTCCCCAGCCTCGGCGGGTTCGCTTCCGGCCCCTCGTTCCAGGCCCGGCTGAGAGAGGGCGGAGCTGTACATGGAGTCCCCCAAGGGGCGGCTGGTGTCAAAGCACTCAGGCAGGATGATGATGTAGTCCTCTGAGGAAGCAGAGCACTGACTCTGAACTTCATCACTGAGCTCCTCCTCCTCCTCAGCAAATTCTTCTTCGGCGATATGGACAATCTCCTCTCTCTCCTCACCCAGGGGGCCCTCTCCTCCAGAGGAGGCAGATTTCACTGCAGAAGAAGAGTGATCAGTTTCAGTGGCTGCTTCTGGTGCTACCCCAGGTGCTCAGGTCGTGGGCTAGAACAGGAAGGCGAGGGAGAGCCAGCAGAAGCGCTGCTGATGGAGCCATGGCCAGGGTCTCACTGAAGCCCACGCGAGCTGGATGGGCGCAACGATCACACAAAGAGCCAGGCTCCAGAGAAGTCCTATCCTTTTAAAGAAAGGACGCCTCATCCTCGTTACTCTTCAGGGGGTGGTTAATGGACGGAGACAGATTTCAAAACAACTGATAAAGTAGCTGACAATGCTGTGAGATAAACGAAAATGTGATTTTCTCCCTCCTCTACGGAGGAAACGCACGTTCACACCAGAGAACCAAAAAGAGCACCTAACCCTATTAAAAACGACCATGGTAGCTATTCTGGTCTCAACCCCTCGATTTTTGTTGTTACGTATTTGTGCACATGCCATCTGTTAAAGGGATTTCTCATTAAACTCGAGTTTCCATATTTCTTCAATGCACTATTTCAGTATTTAGACAGTCCTTGAAGCATGCCATTGGCTCTATTATCTGACATCTGGACGGTTCTGACCTAAAGGTGTGCGTTAGGCAGCACGTCACCTCTAGGGGCTCACTTTCGTATGCCTGTCTCTACCCACTACTTCCTGCTTCTGCTCCAGGAGACAGCAGAAAGCTCAGCTGCCAACAAGGACGCCTGGTGAGGTGATGCCAGTTCCCAGGAGGCCGCCGCCTCCCAGGAGAAGGCAGGCAGCAGGCCTGCGGCTGTGCTCTGCCTGAGGAGGCACAGAAGGGAGGCTCCAGAGCTCTGTGCAATGAGGGTGGCCGGGCAGCTGACGTGGCTTAGGCGGAAACGAGTGCACCCAGATTACCCCACTTGCACTCACAGGGACAAGCGCTTCTGAAGTCTGGATGTCTGGCAGTCACCTGTTGGCTGCCACCCAGGGAGTGCAGGGATACTCACTCTGCAGGGGCTTCTGTCGGCAAGGTGGGTTGTGATCAGGGGCAGCATCCAAGGTCAGGGACCGGATCACAGTCTCGCAGACAAACTGGGTCCCGCTCAGGTCATCTTCAGCGTCCTCCCCAGAGGCAGCGCTCTCAGCCCTGTTCCTTGCCGGCCCTGCGGAGTCTGGAAGAGGCGAGGGCGGGTGTGTGAGTGCTGTCACACGGCTAGTCATCACCCAGGCTCAGAATATGCCAAGGAGCAGTCGGTATCTGTGCCCCGAGGGGGAAGGGGCTTTGAAGATGAGATGCCCCAGAAAGCCCACTCATACACCAAGATCAGGTTAGTACAGGCTAGGTGCAAAGAGAGGGCATGATATGGAAATGCTTTAGAAATACTTAACCCCTTACCAGGAAGTACTTTAAATCCCGCCCCTTCACTCTCTTCCTGTATCTGCCCCAAGCCTGGCTTCTCGATTAAAGGACTGTCACGTGGCAGAGGAGACATGCAGGGAGTCCCATCTGGAGAAGGAAGACAGGAGAACCATCAACCAGGGAAGAGCACCCACACCAACAGGCTGGTTCCGGAAGCAGTGACTGACGGGCTAAAGTAAACCCCGCTGTGCTTGCAGACCGGCACAGGCTCTTCCAGGGCAGCGAGGGTGTCTGTCTCTCAGCTCCATTAATTAAGGAGGGATCATAGTCAGCTGGCCTGGAAAGTCAGGGCCCAAACATTGAATCATGAAGGTAAGGGAGAAAGGGGCATAAATCCCGAGGAAAAACACGGAGTCTCCAGAGTCCCTTCACAGGGAGAAGCCTCAACGAACGTGTATCGCTGCCTCTGACCGCCAGTGGAGAAAGGGGACGACCTGGCCCATGGCTGCAGCTCTTGACTCTCACATGGTACCAGGTGAAGCGAGTCTTGTCCTTACCCACAGGGGTGTTGTGCGGCACTCTCTCCAATTCCTGCACAATGTTTATGTCCAACAGCTCAAAGGACAGCAGGTCCTGGAAAGAAAGGCCATGTCAGGCTGCCTGCAGAGCACACTGTCTTATAGTCCCTGGACCCAACTGTTCAATTTCACACCTCACCTCAGCCAAGGGAAAAGGAAGAGAGTTAAAAGGAAATTAAATGTTCATTCAAATAAGCACATGGCAGGAAGGAGGGTGAACCAAAGTGAAGCGGTGGGAAAGCACAGGCGTGAAGTTACAATTCAAAGAGCAAACATTTCATTGAGAAGTGGTGGGGGGTTCCACGGCGGAGCTGCCTGAACCAATGCTTCTGATGGGGTCAAAGTGGGCATAATCTCCACTGCCCTGGGCATCCCCTTCTCGTCAAGGTACTAAGTAACCCACTTCCCCAAGGCTCCCATTCCTCACCCACCTGGGCAGTCAGAAGGTCCACAGACGGGATGTAGAGCTCCCTCTCGCTGGCAGCCTTTTTGGTCCGAGGGATGCGGGTTCCTGTCCCTTCTGTTGGCTCAGTCCCTTCGCCAAGCCGAGTTTCGTCTTTGGCCAGAAGAAACGCTTCCTAGACAGACAAACCATGAAGGCACATTTTAGGCCCTCAACAGGGTGGCGGGCTGCTCTAAAAACATAACTGCATTTTTCAACATTGAAGAAAAAAAGGTTTTGGTTAGAGATTAAATTTAGGCTATGGACAAACTATAAAAACAGTGCCAAGGGGTCACGTATTCGCTTCCCCAGTGCTAACAGCTCACACGTACCAGGAAATGAGCCCCGGCGGTTTCTCTCCTATCAGATGGTTTCTGCCACTGCAGCTATGCTTTCCTTTGTAACGAAGAGGGAGGCTGCTTGGGGTGCCGTGGGACTCAGAACCTCGTAAAACCTAGCACTGTTCATGATTACCCCTCAATGTCCGCCCTAACTGCTCCCACAGTCCTCCACTGGGAGGGCAGTTCTCTGAACCAACAAGGCCAGGCTGTATTCACATTAAGGGGCTGTAGAAGCACAGCGATCAGTCCATCAGTTTCACTGGCTGGGTCAGTCCCAGCAGCAGACAATGGACAAGCATCACTCCAGAGAGAGAGGAAAACACTTGAGGACTGCCTGCCTCAGGATCTAAGGACACTCAGACAAAGCCCTTAGAGGACTAGGCCAAACTTGGGCATAAACGTCGTGATGGGGAGGAGAGTAGCGAGCTTGTGTGAGTTCTCAGAGAACAATGGGCCGTGCACAGGATCTTTGTGTTTCCGCCCCCTCTCCGACTCTGTGGAATCCTGGCCAAAGCCTGCCCATGCTTACCTCCTGCCTGCAAGTGGGATCATCTTTGCTTGAGCCGACCACGCCCTTGTCATTGTCACTAGGGCTCTCAGTGGAGGGGAAAGAATCCACTCTGATGCTACACCAGACCCGAGGCCCGAACTGCTGGCCTTTATGAGAAAGACGCCAGTGGGAGGTGTAGGTTCCTTCCAAGGTCGGGGCAATGAACTCCACAGACACAACTCCTACGTGGCCGGCTTTCAGGCAGGGAACCAAGACATCCTTCTTCTCTGTAGAAGCCAACGTCAGGTTTCCCCACATGAACTTGAGCTGAAAAGGAGTGTCGAGAGAAAGCAAGTTTGCCAGCTGAGCCCGTTGCCTGTCACCTCACATGACAACACCCCCACCTTTAGTGGGAATGAATGAATACCTTTGTGTCTGCGCTCCATCTGACATTGCCTGTGTTTTTCATTCTCCAGTGTTTGATGAACTTGGTTCCTGGCTGAAGGTGAGTCCCATCAGGCACATTCTCATCCACAAATGCTGCGCTGAGGGTTGGCACGACTGGGGCACAGGGCTGCAAAGGGAGCCTGGACAGACAGAAATTCACACCCTTAGTTACTGGTGCGATGGCTGATCGCTATAAACCACTGTGGCCTGAATGGCTGTGACTCTTGAGGAGGCCCTACCACACTCACCTCACCAATGAAACAGACAGGACTTCTACAAAAGGACAGGTGTGACTCCTGAGCTAAAAAGCCATGGCGAGAATCGTGAAACAAGCAAAAAACCCTCCTACCACTGAGTTGATTCCAATTCATCGTGGTCCTACAGGACAGGGCAGAACTGTCCCTGTGGGTTTCCCAGGCTGTCATCTTCGAGGGAGCAGAAAGCCTTATCTTTCTCCCTTAGAATAACTTGTGGGTTTGAACTGCCAACCTTGTGGTTAGCAGCCCAGGGTGTAACTCAGTATGCCATCAGGGTTCCTCTGGTCAATGGCAAGGATCTTACAAACACCTGCTAATGTGCCTCACATCTAGACGGCCCCAGTACAGAGAGGTCACAATAACCTTCGTTCAGAATCCAATCAAGTTTAATTGTTTTTCTCAAGAGGGCAACAAAGCAAACACCAAATAGAACTTCATCTGGTGAGTGCTCCGAGGCTTTTACCCACGAATGCTTTCAGCAGCTTTATTCCCAACCATCAAAACCGACAGTGTCCCACCAAAAAAAACAAACAACCCTAAAATGTCCCACAATGAAGTGAATGCATGAACGATCGATATCCATACCAAAGAGGAGAATTCAATGATACAAAGGAATGACTTATCAAGTCACAACAAAAACACTGAGAGGTACCTTAAGATGCCAAGCTGGAAAAAAAAGATGCCAAGCTGTGGGGGAGCAGGGAGGGAGGGGGAAAAATGAGAAGTTGATATCAAGGACTCAACTAGAAGGCACATGTTTTAAGAATGATGATGGCAACAAATGTACAAATGTGCTAGACACAATGGATGGATGGATGGATTGTGATAAGAGCTGTAAGAGCCCCCAATAAAATGATTTTAAAAAAAAGAAAAGATGCCAAGAAGCTACTAAGCAAACAAAGCCCAACTGAAAAAGCTATGCTCGTTTCCAGCAATATCACCCTTTGAAAAAGGCAAAACTAGAGAAACAGTGGAAAGCTAACTGGTTGCGAGTCTGGTGGGGGATGAACAGGAGCACAGGGGAGATTCTGTACGACGACACCAATGGCGGAGGACACCTGACAGCATTGACTGTCCGACACAAGGGAGAATCCTAATCTAAGGGATGGACGTGACTCAAAATGTATCCTTATTGGTTCACCGAGTATAACAAGTATGTCTTTGGAATGCAAGACATTAATAGGAGCAGCAAGGCCTGTCTGTGCGCGTGAGCAAGGAGAGATTATGGGAATTCTGTCTGTGCACGTGAGCAAGGAGAGATTATGGGAATTCTGTACTTTCAACATGGTTTTCTGTCAACCTGAAACTATATTAATAAATACATTAATTAATAAAAATAGAGGTATTGGCCTATGCACATAGATTTATATGGCAATACACTGAGGTAGTGGACAGACTTGGGCCTCTGTTCAAGCCCTCCCTCACTACAAAAACACTCTGCTCTAACAATCTGGCATTCTGTGATGCCCCCCCTCCTGGCACAATCGCTGAAGACAAAATGGGTGCGTAAGCAAATGTGGCAAAGAAAGCTGATGGTGCTCAGCTATCAAAAGATATAGCATCTGGGGTCTTAAAACTTGAAGTTAAACAAGCAGCCATGTAGCACAGAAGCAACAAGCCCACATGGAAGAAGCACACCAGCTTATGTGATCAGTGAGGTGTTGGCAGGTAAGTAAACACAAACCAGTATTGTTGAGAATGAGGAAGGTCGGAACAGAGACAGACCCAAAGCCCATCTACAGACAATGGGACGCCCCCAAGAGGGGTCATAGGGAAGGGATGAGTCAACGAGGGTGCAGTATAGCACAAAGCACACCATTCCTCTGGATCCTTGAGGCTTCCTCACCCCCCACCATCATGACACCAGTCCTGCCTTTCACGGCAAGCTAGACCTGAGCACGTGCACAGGTTCAGGTAAGAGGTAAGCGCTCACGACAAATGGAATCCAGGAACAGGATGGGAAAAGCGTTACCAGGAGGATAGGGGGAAACTGAGGAGAGGGAGCGGGAAAGGGGAGCCGATCACAATGATGGACACAAAGCCCACATACCCCCACTCACCCCTCCCCGCCCGCCCCTGGGATGAACAACAGAAACCGTAGGGGAAGGGAGACATGTAAGATATGAAAATAACAATTTAGAATTTATTAAGAGGTCACAGGGGGGGGAGGAGCTGATACCAAGGGCTCAGTAGAAAGTAAATGTTCAGAAAATAATGATGGCAACGTGTACAAATGTGAATGATGCAACTGATTTATGCAATGCTCGAAGAGCTGTTAAGAACCCCAATAAAATGATCTTCTAATAAAAATTTTAAAAAGGGACGAGGGCAGCCTCCATGAAAGGATCCATCAATAATCCCCATACACAACTGAGAGACCTCACTCTAACAGAAATCTGAGAATACTAAAACTTTAGGATTTTTTAAAAAGTGTAGTATAAGAGAAACAAACAGAACTACTGGACTACTGTTTACTAAAGCCAGGATCAAGGGTCAGGAGATTTCAAGGGCTTGGGTGTTGTACATGAATGAAACAGAGGCTGACTGCCTGTCCAGTTTTAGAGCGCTGAACCTCATTCTTGGCTCCCCACCAGGGTCCCAGGCTTACATCAGGGTACTAGACTGCAGCAAGCTCTCGGGTCGGCCCAGAGGAGACTTGGGGCTCTGAAGCCCGTGGATAGAATTCCACAGATGAATCTTCCTGTGGAGTTTAAGCTGCTTTTTGAGTTCCTTGACCTCTGCTTTCCGCTGCTTCTTCTCAGCTCGCAACCTTTGCTTTTCTGCTTTAAGAAAGTTCTTGTCCACTTGTTTCTGGAGCCTGTGAGATAATAAATCCAAGTCTTAAATAAAACGAACCTCACAACCGAGTTGTGCATTGACTTGAACCAAGGGCAGTCTCCATTGGTACCAGCTTATAGTTTAGGACCTGGATGTTGTTCTCCAGTGGTCATTTCCATTTCCCTAGCTTTGGGGAACCGTCCGCACTGCATGCCAACTGAAGAGGAGCAGGGCTGTGGTCTCTGCAGCTGTGTGACCCGCACCCTCTCCTCAGAGCCAGAGGCACCCTTTACCTGACTTGCTCCAGGGCAGCAGGGAGGCGAGGAGGAGAGACCCTCGAGTGAGCGAGCGGTTCAGAGGATCCCGCAACAGGTCTCCGCAGCTTCAGCAGGACGTGGTTAGAGTCGTGGGTATATGGCCCCGCCTCGCAGGCTTCACAGATGTTGTAGGATGGGCACAGGCTTGGGGAAAAGAAGGGCACAGTGAGAAGTCCCCGAGGTAGGCAGATAGGAGACTAGACGTTGCTCTCTTGCCAGCAAGCTGGTATCCGAGCATGCCATCTGACCAGGCCATGTCTCAGTGTTCCTCGTTAATAAAATGGGGATAACGATACTTGACCTATATTTCAAAGGAAACGCATAGGATGAAGCAAGATGTAAAAGCATTTGGATCTAATTTTGTATTGGGAAATGCAACTTTGCCTGTGAATTCATAGGAGCCTTGGTGTCTGTGTTTAACGCTGGGCAGTTGGAAGCCCCAGCTGCTCCGTCCGCAAGGAGAAAGAGGCGGCTTTCTGCTCGAATCTAAAGCCTTATGCAGTCTAGGAAACCCAAGAGGGTCAGTTCTACTCTGCCCTGTAGGTTGCTACGCGTCAGAATTGACTTGATGGCAGCGTTTGTTTTGGCTGCTAATCCCAGTACCTCCCCGAACACGACAATCCAATGACTTAACTCTCAATCCAGAAAGCACATGAATGAAGAGTAGTTGACTCCAACCCCGAATGACTCCATCTGCTGCCCACAAATACACCAAATTTCTCTTACCTATCTAGGTAGAATGCCAGTAAAGCCAGTGCTATAAGGATTACCAGTAGACATCCACCCTCAGGTTACTGCTTACCTGCATTGGTAACGCACACCAATGATTTTTCTTTGGCAGCCGCTGCAAGCAATGTGCCAATTGAATTGGTTTTCTGGAAAAAGCAGTGTTTCATCTGAAACGGGCAGTGAGACTTCTGATGGACAGGAACCCAAGGTTGGGCTTTGGAGTACAAGCGTCTCATGTAATTTCTGCTCAAGCTTCTCAACTGTTTCTTTAACCACTTGCTCTCTGAACTAGACAGAAGGCAGAAGAAGGTGGAGAAAGA